TCTATCTATCTATCTATCTATCTATCTATCTATCTATCTATCTATCTTTTTTTGAGTCAAGGTTTGCCTTGGAGTATACACTGGCTTTGAACTCAAGGCTTCACTGCCTCAAGTTTCTTTAGGGCTTGATAACAGGTGTGTATCACCTTTCCCAGCTTTAAAAATGCTTTAATTTGTTGATTTGTCCTTGAAAATAAGTGAGGTTTAAATAGTAACTACGCTGTTAGGTAGTTAGCTGTTAGTTAGATTCCCAAAAAAAGATTGCAGTTTTGAAATCCATCCCTCACACTCTCCCTGGTTGAGACTATTAAAGTGCTGAACAGATTCGTTCATAGCTCTTCCCATTCCTTTGTTGTGAAATTTAGGGAGGGAGTATAATTTAGAAGAAATTCACTTTTTGTAGTTATGTAAATTTGGGTTCAGATCCTTACCCTTTCTTTGACTGGTTTTGAAGCTTTAAGCATTGCACTTAACCTCAACTTTTTCTTTTCTTGTAAGGGCTAGTAATATTACATATTCTTAGGAATGCATGAAATGGTATAGGGGACTTAGTACACTGTCCAGTATTATGTAGGTGGCTGCTTCCTGGGGGCTAAAATGATAATTTTTATGTTTTACATGACTTTTAAAAAGTGTTCTTAAAATGATGTCTCTGGACAGAAGATGACTCGGTGGCTAAAGACACTTGCCACCAAGCCTGATGACCCACGTGCAGGTCCCAGAACCCCACATAATAGAAGGGGAGAACCAACTCCTGAAAGTTGTCTTCTGACTGCCACATTCATGCTGTGACACTTAAATTTCACCCCCACGCTAAACTCACAAATGAATGTAAAATTTAAAGGGTGTCATTTGAACAGAAAGATGAAACTCTGTTGTTTTCATCGTTAGCCTTTTGTGTGAGGCTCTAGGTGACTTGGTAGGAAGGAAATCTGTACAGCTGAATAGTTTGGGAAATGACAAGAGATGGATTGTGTTCAATACTAGCAATAGTGTATCTCTTACTCAGTGTTCTGTTGCTGTGAACCGACACCATGACCGTGACAGCTCTCATAAAGGAAAGGATTTAATCGTGGCTGGCTTACAGTTTCAGAGGTTTAGCCCATTGTCATCGTGGCAGGGAGCGTGGTGGATGTAGGTAGACATGGTGCTGGAGAGGTAGCTCTAAGTTCAACAGCTGGAGTATCAGCCAGCAGAAAGAGAAAGAGAGAGTGGAAGAGCAAGCACCTGGGCCTGGCTTGGATTTCTGAAACCTCAAAGCCCCAGTGACGTACTCTCCATCACGATCACCATTTAAACGCAAGGCCATACAAGGACCCCAATTAGGCCACATCTCCTAACCTCTCAAATAGTGCCCCTCCCTGGTGACCATGCTTTCAGATCTGTGAACCTATGGGGCCATTCTTACTCAGACCACCACAGTGTCTAAGTTATAGTCAGTTTAACTTTTTCTTTATTTTACTTTGGTCTTGAAAATAATATGTATGACTTTATATCGTTTCTCAGGTTTGCTTAAGATAGAACCGGATGGTGTGTTAACAGAATACACAGTTTAGGTAGACTTAAGCGCACCACTCACTTGTCTTTTCAGGTGCCACTATTTACAGAAGGAAGCAGTGGTTAAAGTTTGTTGTACCAACTTAGTTCAGAATGTTTAAAATGCTAAGTGGAGTAGATATGTCTTAGAACTCTTCACTCCGTCAAACTCAAAGAATGTGGGTATAAATATCCCTGACCAAGCTACCAGAGCAAGTTTGGCTTTTGATGCTTGCTTCTCTTAAAGTCATCTTTTAAGTATACTTCAACAGTCCTTGGCTATAGTTATTACTGATAAGAATGAGTATTCATAAGTGATTGTCATAGTGTTGTGTATTCTGCCCAGCTTACTACTTTTGGGAAGAGAGAAGTAGGAAGTTTATTTCATGAACATGTCTTCAAATTTATAGTTTTCTAGTCTACCTTTGTGTTGATTGGGTCATTGTAAGTAGATCAGACCCATTTTTATCAGCCTTTGCTATGGGGTTAGACCAGCAGATTAAGTACTGAAATACTGTGTTGGGAAACAGGGGTGCTTTATTTTTATTTTTATTTTATTTTAAACCTCTTCCGAGCTGTATCTTGGGAGGTTTGTATGAGGTGGCTAGTGAGTGAAAGAAAGGGTAAAAGTGTGAGGTGTTTATTTTTTATGCCATGATGTAGGTGTCTTGTCGAAATTTTTAGTTTTTGATCATAAGCCTACTCTTGGGTATTCCGCTTACCCAAAATAGTGAATTATTCTTGAAATGTTAGGAATTAGTTACTGTGGCACAGTGTCATCAGTTGGTCTTTTTAACTTGAGATGTCAGCACAGGGAGATGCCCCTAGAAATTAAAGGCTGAGTTTTGCAGAACCCCAAGATGGTTCTCTTGTGTGCTCTCTACTAAAAGCATATGGTGTGCAGCCATATCCACACATTGCCATTTATTGGCCATCTCATCTTGAGCCAGCCATTTTATCGTTCTCAGACTTAGCATCTAGCCTTGCTTATCACCCCCAACCCCTATTATTCTGTCAGCTAAATGCTGTGTTGTAAGAAATTCATATGTCTCCCTTCCTTTTGCTTAGGAAAACTGACCTGTTTTTATTCGCTATCTGGTTCTCTCATTTTGTTTTACTGAATATTTATCAGGGAATATTTATTAAACTAACTCCTGGTTCAGAGTGCTTGTTGTTAGAAGTTACTGTCGACTCAGCAACTGACCTTGGATGCCAGGGCTTAATGTCAGGTGAAACCAGGATAAACCGTGAACACAGAATGCCAGAATATTTAAATCAGACTACAAAGGAGGTCAGTGTGACTCCTGGAGTTACAGACAGCTATGATCTGCCCTGTGGGTGCTGGAAATCGAACCCGGGTTCCCCAGAAGAGCGGCCAGCGCTCTTAACTGCTAAGCCATCTCTTCAGCCTTGTGATTGCTGTTCTTTACTATCATTTCATACTTTAAAATTTGTTTACTCAGTTTTCTGTGCTAGATGCATTTTGTTTTACATACATTCATTATTTAGTTCTCAATACCTCCTTCGGGGAAAAAAAACAAACAAAAAATCTTGAGAATGAAATTATTAACCCACTTTTAGGAGAAGAAAAAGTTCCTCAAGTTACTTGGTAATGGCCATAT